AGAAAAAAAAAAAAAAAAAAAAAAAAATATATATATATATATATATATATATATATATATGTAGAAGTAAAATATACAACACTAATAGCACAAAGGATGGAGGAAGTGGGAGTTTACCATACTACATTCCTGAGGTAAAGTAGTCATTGTGGTCCTGAATTCTATTTGGTGGTAGTTTCAGATTTTTCATCTATATGTGTACATGATACCTACCCACACTTTTTTTCTGACTGTTCATTAAGTTTTGAAATTAAATATAAGCAACAAATAAGTAATATCTAACATCACGGTAAGAAATTCCACATAACCATGAGATATTAAACTAGCATTTTCCAAACTTTTTTGCTTTAGACACCAGTAAAATATACTGACCAAATTGTGTGGATTGGTATATGGCTAGTAAGTTTTTACTTTGCCTATCACTTATATATGGAATCTAAACTATGACACAAATGAACCTACCTAGGAAGCACAAACAGACTCATGGACATAGAGGACAGACTTGCGATTGCCAAGGGGGAGGGTGTTGAGGGAGGGATGGAGTGGGAGGCTGGGATTAGCAGATGGAAGCTATTGTATGCGGAATGGATAAACAACAAGGTCCTACTGTATAGCACAGAGAGCTATATTCAGTATCCTATGATAAACCATACTGGAAAAGAATATTAAAAAAGGAATGTATATATGTATAACTGAATCACTTTGCTGCACAGCAGAGATTTACACAACACTGTAAATCAACTATAGTTCAATGAAAAAATAAAAATTTTTTTTGGTTTTGCCAAGTATGACTTTAAAAGACAAGTAAAAATCAACGGCCCCGCCTCTTCTGGTGCCTGCCTGGACTCGGCGCAGGGGCGGCGCAAATTCCAGGCACAGAGGCAGACAAACAGCAGGACCTTGGCGGTGGGGGAACTTAAGGAAGGGTGGTCGCCTTATCGCACCCAAGAAGGCCCACATCGTGCAGCAGCAAACGCTCAAGAAGGTGAGTGTGGGTGCGCGAGGAGAAAGAGATGGAGCGTGGAGGCTGGCGAGGGGCTGGGGATGGAGAACTCTCAGCGCTGTGAGCCTGTTTTCCTCCTTCGCACAGTGGGTACGGAAACATTTCCTACCAATCAACGGGCCTCCCAAAGTGAGGAATGGCGCGCACAAAGCGTTCAACCCAGGTGAGCTGCTTTCTCTATTACTGTCCTCCTTAATAGACCTCGAGAGGGAAGGCAGCCTGGGAAAGGAGTCACAAACCGCAGCTTTGCAAGAAGGCAGCACTGGGTGCAAAGCGCCGCTCCCTCGACAGCTACTGTTTATTCGCCCTGAGCCTCTTACCTGTGAAATGGTCTTACTGATAGCACTTTTCTCCTAGTGGTTCACAGGGCAGTGTGTGTTGCCTCTGGTTTTGATTGTCTTCTCTTCCCCCTAATAAGCTGGTTTATTAGCCAGAGGAGGCCCAAGTCTCATTGAAATACAGACCACCCTTCATATACGTGGGTTCCCCATTCACCAATTCAACCAACCTGAGGATCATAAGCTTAGTGCAGGATCTCTGATTGGTTGAATCCTCGACTTTGGAAACTGAGGATATGGAGGGCCCACTAAGGGCTGTGAACATCCTTGGCCTTTGGTATCTGCAGGGGAGTCCCGGAACCAATCTCCCGCAGATACCAAGGTACAACTGTAGGCTATAGTGGGTTTGGAAATAGAGCATACATTTAAAGTCAATTGATTTTTGAGAAAAGTGCCAAGACAATTTCATGAGAAAAGAATAGTCTTTTCAACAAATAGTGCTGGGACTCTAGGTAGCCACGTGCAAAAGAATGGAGTTAGAGCCCTACCTCACACCACAGACAAAAATTAACTCAAAATGGGTCAAAGACCTGAACGTAAGAGCTAAATTATAAAACATTTAGAAGAAACCATAGGAGTAAATATTTATGATCTTAGATTTGACAATGGATTCTTACATACCATACCAAGAGCACCAGCAACAGAAGAAAAAATACAGAAATTGGACTTCATCAAAATTAAAAACTTTTGTGCTTCCAAGAACATTATCAAGAAAGTCAAAAGACAGCCCACAGGATGGGAAAAAAATACCTGCAAATCATATATCCAGTAGGTGACTTGTATATAGAACATGTAAAGAAATCTTACAACTCAATAATAAAAAATTAAATAATCCACTTTTTTTAAATGAGAAAAGGACTTGAATAGACATTCTCCAAAGAAGATATACAAACGGCCAGTAAACATATGAAAAGATGCATGATATCATTAGTCACTAGGTAAATACAAATCAAAACCACAACCACAATGAAATACCACTTCACATCATTGGGATGGTTATAAAAAAAAGGCAGGTAATGACAAGTGTTGGCAAGGGTCTGGAGAAATTGTAACCCTCATACTTTGCTCTTGGGAGTGTAAAATGCAGCCGTTGCTTTGTAAAACAGTCTGGCATTTCTTCAAAAATCAAACATAGAGTTGCCGTATGACCTAGTAATTCCATTCCTAGGCAGGCAGCCAAGAGAAATGAAAACAATATGTCCACATAAAGACTTCTACACAAATATTGACAGCAGCATTATGCATAATAGCTAAAAGGTGAAAACAATCCAAATGTCATCACCTGATGAGTGGATAAACAAAATGTGGTATATCCATACAGTGAATATTAATTGGCCATAAAAAGGAATGAGTACCAATACAAGCTACAGCATGGATGAACCTTGAAAACATTATGGTTAAGTGAGGAAAGCTGGTCAGTCAAAAAGGCCATATTTGTATGATTCCTTTTATATGAAATGTTCAGAATAGGCAAATCCACAGAAACAGAAAGCAACTTGTGGTTGCCAGGGGCTGGAAGGAGAATGGATTGGGGCTGACAGCTATTGGACGCAGAGTTTCCCTTTGGGGATGACAAAAATGTTCTGGAATTTGATAGTTGCAACATTTACACAACTTTATGAACATACAGTAAATTTTATGTTATTTTGTTTTGTTTTATTTTTACTTTAAAAGGGTGAATTTTATGGCATGTGAGTTATGTCAATACTTTTTTTTTTTTTTTTTTTGTGGTACGCGGGCCTCTCACTGTTGTGGCCTCTCCCGTTGCAGAGCACAGGCTCCAGACGCGCAGGCTCAGCAGCCATGGCTCCTGGGCCCAGCCGCTCCGCGGCATGTGGGATCTTCCCAGACCGGGGCATGAACCCATGTCCCCCGCATCGGCAGGCGGACTCCCAACCACTGCGCCACCAGGGAAGCCCAGTCAATACATTTTTTAAAAAAGAAAATATAGTCCTGGTAATTCTGTGTCCCTGATGGTGATCCTCACACATATGAGACAGGGGTTTGGAAAAGCAGGTGGTTTCTCTGACCTGTTTATGTAAATCAGATTCTACTTTGATAATTACATTCTCTTCATCAATGTCTCAAAAAGTTTTGGGAGGGTGGGAGGGACAAAAGGGCAGAAGGATATTCATACAGTAGAATATAATAACAGTTAAATGAACTAGAATGAATGAAATGAATGAATGAATGAATGAAAGGAATCCATCAGTATGGATAAAACCTAAAAACAATGATAGGAAAGAAAATAAGTTGCAGCATAATATAACATTTGTTTTAAATTCATGAACATGGGAATCGATATTATGTATTGCTATGAATCCGTACATTGGTAGTAGTTACGTGAAAACCTGTCCTGGGGACAATAGCCACCAAATTCAGAATAGTTCTTGCTCCTGGGAAGGCAGAAGATGCACTGGACCCGAGAGGGGTACAAAGAGGTCTTTGATTCCAGCTACAATATTTTAATTTAAAAAATAATCTAAAGTGGATACAGGAAAACGTTAGGATTTTTCAAATCCATGCAATGACTACCTGGATGTTTGTTATCACTAAATACTCTTTGTCATTATTTGTTAATAAAGCGATGTTTTCCAAACTTCAGGTCACTTTGCATAAGTAGTTTGTGACATCAGCTTTGTGACTCATAACAACACCTTTTCAAAAAAAGAGAGAGGACTTCCCTGGTGGTCTAGGCCGGTTGGGAAAGTTCCGCGTGCCATGCGGTACAGCCAAAACGAAACAAAACAGAGAGAGAGAGAGAACATGATAGAAAATATCAGAATATTTAGGGAAAAAGTTAAATATTGTTTTGGATAACTTTGAATTCAGGGTTTACTGTATCGCTAGGCAGGCAGCCAAGAGAAATGAAAACAATATGTCTACATAAAGACTTCTACACAGATATTGATAGCAGCATTATGCATAATAGCTAAAAGGTGAAAAAGGGTACTGGACAAAAATATTCAAAAGTCCTTTATATAATATACGAAGTTATAGTCCAAACATACTAAATAGGTTGAACAAAATTCTTCTTATGTCTGACCGTAAGCAATTTTACCGTGTTAGTCTTAAACAATCATATGATATGATAGGATACTTTATTTCATAGTCAGTCACATCTATAGAAGTACAATCTATAGAAGAAATTGTAGTTTAAGAGACCTTTACATTTTTCTTTAAAATATTTTAAATTAAATATTATTTTAAGGTCTGAAGTTTGGAACGTAATGAAAATTTAGCCTGGGTTGGGGATGTACTGATGTGAGGCCTCATCTATGTTTTTATTTCCTGTTAATAGCACCCTCACTGTGAAAGAATCCGGCTCCATGGAAAACTGATGTCAGCTATTAATTGGTTCATTGACTCAGCTCTATTATTAGCTTTATTTTTGTGGTATAAATATTTCATATTAACAAGGAGATCTTTAGGTGCCATCTTTGTGATTCTAAACCTTCAGTCTCATTCAAGTCATGAACACCTGGAGATGCAATGAAGGCAGTCATCACGCTCTTGAGTGTAGAAATGGGTTTGGTTGGGGTTTTTGTTGGTTTTCTTTCCTTTTTTTGATCCCAGTATGTTTTGATCAAAACTGTCCTTGCAATGAACTCCTATTTCCATGAAGTAGAGTGGGTCTTCAGTGCTTGGAACCAAAGGAGCCATAACTAAGGCAGTAGGATGAATTGCTTTGAGTACACGTGTGTTACAAGAGCAAAAGCCTACAGTAGAAAAACCAGTCAGGAGTGGAGTGTTGCAAAGTCCAATCAAAGTAAACCTGAATGGATAGAAGGAGCAAATAAAGCTGATGGAGGAAAGGACCAATGAAAAGAAATGGACATTCAGATACTAAAAGGGCAGTTGGGGCTCCTGGCCTCAGGCAGACACCCCAGAATGTGTCTACAGTGTGAGAGCATCCATATAATCAGGACAGCAATGGGTCATACAAGGAACAGATGGTCCCCTTGGGCTTTCCTACAGAGAACTGACTTTGGCCACCTTGAAAATGGGTTGGGATGGAGGTGAAATGGACAATCACAACTTAAACTTTAAATACTTCTCCGCAAACCCACACCCCCGGAAAAGACCACTCTTAACCATAGTGAATATGTAAAGAACGAAATCAGATGCTCTGGAATACTCAACAAGCATTCTCCACCTCCACCTCCTACTCACTGCTCTAAATAAGAAGGTGTGCATAGATACATGAAGCCTTTTGGAGCTATTGGAGAGCATCCAAGATGCTTTCTTTTCTTGCACACATGCTTTCAACCTATTTGGAAAATATTCTACTTTGAGATAATGTTTCTTTTAAATCTACCAAATAATTTTTAATAAAATAAAAATCACTAAGTATATAGTCAAGTGTGTAGTTTTTTTAATATAAAAAAGCTATAGATCTTTGGATATTTTATCTTGGATTGCATCATCAGAGATGAATTGAACACAAACTCAAAGTTGCTATTTCCATTCAAGGGAAGGGGGGACACACACACCTGGTGTGTTTTTATTCACACACTAGCTGAACGGTGCTTGAGACCCACTCCCATTAGGGGTGACTGCCTTTGGAGTGACACGTTTAGATCTCTAATTTAAAAAGCTTCTTCCTACTTTTGAACGTTGATACTTTCGTGTCATTTCAGAGGTAATCCCCTGAAAAACTTCCCATTGGTGTTTTTAGAATTTCTTTTTATGGAAAATTTTAAACATATAGAAAAGTAGACAGACTCGTACAATAAACCCCAGTCGCCCAGATTCAACAATTATCAGCTCAAGGTCAACTTTGTTTCATCTATGCCTCACCCACTTCCTGCCCTGTGGGATTGTT